ATACGATCTCCTCCACGTCATAGTCTCACTAATACTCAACTTGTCTTTCACCTCCTATTCAGGTTCCACACAAATGAGTGGCACGTGATATACATCAACTGTTTCCTCAGCGTATACTCAATCAATTTCTGGTTCCTTCTGAACATGTGTTCGGTGTCAGATTTCCGTATTGCTTGTTCTTTCCGAAACAATATGTGATTTTCAGTGTTAGACAGTTACACTGTATTAACCTTATTAGCTATGTAGTTCTGCAAATCTTAGAAAATTGTAAAATGTTTTTAAACACTGTTAAACTATTCAGTTTATTTTAGATTTTACCATCAACTGATTTGAACAAAGTACTTGGTCTCAGGTTGACAGGTCAGCTACATGTGCAGATGCCTCGACGATGTTGGTCGACGGTGATTAGCAATGGAATCCAAGATGCGCATTTCGTCCTATTTGAGACTCGTCATCTGGATCTACCTGCGTCTCGGCGTTCGACGGGAAAGTCTGAATTGAATTAGTTATTTAAGAAGCTCCATTGCACAAGAAGTGGCAGAAGGTCCCGGTATATATGCGTCTGAAGGTTTGGTTTGCATAAAGCATGAATTTAGGAGACAAACTTCAGAGTTCTTGCTGGTTGGAGCCTCGCCGTTGCACACTGTACCTTAAGTTTAATAATAACGATTTGTTAAAGCACAATTTGAATTGGTTTTATCCCGCTAACAATTGTTTCCGAGTTCATTATATGTGTTCACGCTGGAGCTTTGATTTTGCAGTTGAGATTGTGGTGGTTTCATGGATTGCGATTGCTAGCTTCAATTCCGACACTCCCTGTTAATCAGAGTTACTTCAGGTGAGTTAATCTGAACCACGTTCATTGTTGTCGGGCATTATACCACTGAATAACCTACACGCATCGTAAAAATGGCTTTCGTGCCATTTGAATATTTTTAGGTAAGCGCTTATCTACCTTCACCTTAATTACAGAAAGCAATTATATCGAAGAATTTCGTGTGTATTAAGTAACGTAGAAAAGAAAACCTTCAAATGAATCGCAAGATTTTTCTTTCTACGTGGAAGAATATTTTTGAAAAAAGAACTACAATAAAATTCATTTTCTTTGTCCACTTTGCATGTTTAAATATGTAACTGTCAGACATAATTATGAAGATGCCATTTAGACAAAAATGTAGGACATAAAAAAGTGCTTAAAGCAAGATTGACTCGTTGTCATTAGTGAATGAGATGACAGTTATCGATTTGCCACAGAAGGAGTCTTTTAGCGCGATTAAAAAAGCAAGTATCATGTCGTTTGGATATTTTTGCTTGTTGAAAAAGACAGACAAGACAGTTTGCCTGACATGTGATTTTACATGAATGATAAAATGTCTTTTAGCAGACGAAAAAGAGAGCAGAGATTGACATTAAATATCATGTTACTTGTCATATTAATCAGACAAAGTCTTATGTATGTCTTAAAAGATTGTAATGAAATGTTGTATAGCTGATATGAAAATTGACTTCTTATGACATATGAATATTTTCTTGGATATTTTAAGGTAGACATTTTGGAACTTTGTTTCAAAACCTGTCAGAATATGATGTTGTCTGGAAAACTACTTAAAATGAAAATTGCTCATTTTGTTCAAATGAGATTAAGTGTATTATTATTATTTCCTTTAATTCCTAGAGGAACATAGGGCTTCAGCCGTGCGTCTCCATTGCGTTTGGTTCTCTGCTAGAGTTTTCACCTGCCTCCAAGTCTGCTCACATGCTTTCATCTCCTCTTCACAGGACCTCATCCAAGTGACCCCTGGACGACCAACTCGACGCTTTCCTTTCGGGTTCCACTCGAGCGATGGCTTGTCTAGTGATGTCCAGTGATTAAGTGTGACTATTATTAATTTTCATATATGCTGTTGCTCCAGTCCAGCCATTTTTAGAGGCTTACTGGTCAGTGATCCAGTGGTATCTTTGTTTTATGTTTTTTATTAGTATTCGACATCTTTTACTGCTCTAAAAGCTTGTCAAATAAAAACATACGGAAAGACGAATCTATTTAAACTCTCAGTGTTAGGCACGTAGGAAGGTGAGCATATAGTTTTCATTTCTTTTCCCACCCTAAATAGTAGAAATAGTGAGAAATTATATCTTCGACCAGCTTGTTACGCAGTCGCAGTTTTGATGTCACGACTTGAGTAAGTAGGAATTCATGGGTCATTGAATTCCAGCCCAAGTGCCTAAATGGTCGGATATCTTGGCCTCGTAACCTGAGGATCCCAGGTTCACCTCTGATAGATTCGTCAGTGTGCACTACCGAAGAGTCAAAAATTATTACAGAACAGCTGTCCGGTGCTCTGAAGTCTTCAGTGATCTTTCTAACTGAGTCTGCTTCATGACAAGTATGTAGAAGTTGGAATTCATAAAAGATCCCCACAAATCCTACGATTTGAATTACATCTCAGTTCGCACTATGTCGAAATAAATCATTCAGTCATTTATATTATTTAAAAACTGTTTCTTGCCCTCGAAAGGAATGTAAGTGTTTTGCAGCAACATAGAGCTGAAGGTTGAGAATCCAGTAGTTGAACGTCTAGTGTTCGTCACTGAATAACACGCTAAACCAGCCCTAAATAATCGGATAACTGACATAGTTAAATGAAACGGATTCACAGAAGCCGATGAGTTTGTTTTCAGAAACAAGAAAGACGAGATCTTCGACATCTTCTTTTAGAATGGTCTCGTATAAGAAATATACATAAGAAACGTATTTTGAAAATTGTTGCATCTGAAGTCAGAAACATATTCGTTGCAGTAGGCACGTCGTTCGTATTTTTATTGAAACTTTCATGAAAATTCCGAAATATTTTTATTTTTTCTGAAAATTTTATTAAAGAAATATTGGTGTATTTAAGAAAACCACTGGGAAGTACTGAAGTGAAATAAGTACTCCGTAAACTATCTATTTACGATATTTATATTTACATTTCTCCTTTGTCTTAGTCCTTAATCCTTATTATCACCTGCAGTTGCAGTGACATCTATATAGGTAGAACCAATAGAATGTTCCAATGTCGTCGAAAAGAACATGTTGCAAAATGGTTATAAGGACACATAGAAAATCCCAATGCAGTCAGTCTGAATAGAAATCCATAATCATCATCCATCGCAAAGTACTTATTAATGTCAGGTCACAAAATCAATAGTAATGACTGCTTCACTTCACTGCTTATGCCATCACATAACTCTAATTCAAGGTTGGTTATTAAAGGTGATGGAAGCACTTTGGATTAATCACATACATCCTAAACTGTGTGAACAAAAAAGAGTAGACTTCATTTAATGTAGCCTACCATGGACTACTTGACCTATTTAAATCTGATTGGTCACTAGTATGTACTTTTGTTTTATATAACTGAGTAATTGTCATGCATTTTATTTTATTATTGTGAACCAGGCTAGTTGTAAAGTGATTGTAGAGAAACTATGAAATGACGATATCATCTCGCGAAATTTGTCTTCTAAATGTCTTATTGAGGTTCTCAGGTAATTTATAATTGTACATTGAATTGATAAGGTCAATTGCGAGCCCGAATAGCTCAGTGGTAACGTCTCTGACTGCAGCACTGAGTGACGCGGGTTCGAATCTCAGAAGGGACATGAGTTCCTTCAAGATTGTGGATACGCCTTGCTGACTGGTGAGTGCCAACTAGCACGAAACCTAGGTCCAAGGCTTCCTGCCGATTGCCTCCAACCATCTAATATCATCAAATCAATGTGCACCGTGATGGCAAGCTACCTAGAATGGTGGCCACATTGCAAACCTAACTGATAGAATTCAGTCTGCACCAAAGAAAGGACCAGACACCTCACACTAGTTACTAGTATCCAATGAAAATTTATAATTGTGTTTCGTCAATTACATTTATTGGAGAATGTGTGATTTTTATCCCAGAAACTTCTGTATTTTTGGTATATGTTAGTATTTTGAAAACTATCACACGAAAAATTCTTTTCATATACTTGGAATATAGTTTCGCGCTGTATGTGGCTCATGAAGGCTTGACAAACTGTATAGAAGGAGAGATATATCCTTTTCTTGCTTACAGACTAAAACATTTGAATTTAAGACATCATAAGTACATAAAATGCAGTTCCTTGATGTCAACATCAATTTATATGGAATAGAGAGGTTTCGCGTGCTCTTCGGATTGTGAGGGCGATTGTTGCTTCCCGGCTGCCCACACCGTGGAAGTTGGTTGCGTGACCGCATAGCCCAAGGGACAACTGCTTGAGGCCGGTCACACGCGGCCTGTTTTTGTTTGTTGTTCTTTATTTGGTGTGTCTCAGTAGCGTATTTATAACTTCTGCCCTGTGACACGGCAGCAGAAAGCGCGGTCGTTGTTAATCCGGGCCCCGACCGATCCGGCATGATATTTTGTGATTTGTTTGAAGTCATAGGATTGGATTGGGTAACTGCTTTTAGTCTAACCGCTATCCAAACAACCTTTCTGGCATGGTAAGACCTGCAGGAACATAAGTTCCAGCCAGTATAGCTTGTTGGGTCACTGCGGCATTCGAGCCCGTCCACCACGGCAAGGTAGCAGTTATCGGCCGGGGAATTTATATGCAATCGTTTATTACGTATATCTATGCTATACCTAGTTTTCTTCACATTCTTTCAGATTTATCTGAATTCGTCCTTCAGTTTATTCATCTTCAGTAACAAAACTCTATTTCGTTTCGTTTCCGTACATGTTTTAGTCAAAACATATTTTTCTGAAGCAGGAATTATTTCACCTAATTCACAACCGAATTTTCAAGTTGGCATAGTTTTGATTCCTTTACGCTGTGAGACTATTATTCATCACTTATTAAACTTGAACGCCTTCATATCAAGTTTGCAAATATTTCGTTCGTCCAGAGTTCAGAGATTTGATTTCCCTGAATGTCTTGGCAGATAAACCATGCGCTTCAGAAAACACAAAAAATATCATTTATAAAAAGCAACTCACTTGCATGTAACTTGAGGTTTACACACTGCAAGTTCAATAGTTTCATCATCAGTCGTTTCATTTGCTCTTGATAAATTATCACTTTGGAGATCCATTGAAGTGAATGTGGAAGACATGCTGTTTTCATCTGAGGTATTTGTCACTCGAATCATTGGTGTAAAATACCAAATCAAAAAGTTTGTATTTGAATCTGGTACACAGTGTAAAGTGATTTGTTCACCTTCACTAACTGTCTGATTTGTAGAAGAATATTCTACAGTTTTCGTAGCAGATGGAGGTAGCGAAGAAGACTGAAGTAATTGAACAGCATCTAAAGTAGAAGAACAAACAATGGTCGATAGTTATAGGATTCATACATGTCTAAGTCAAAACTGTTTGGTGTTAAATGCAAATATGTAAACTACAGAAAATGAATAATAGCAAAAACATCTTTCTTCTGGACAGTATTTAAAATGTACAGGCTGTTCCAGAGCAGTTTACTGCATAATATTTTCCTGTCGTACAACATCTTGAAGCATATCTTGTGACTCAGCGAGCTCTGAGCTGAAACACAAACCATTCCATTATGATATGTCTGCTTTGTCTGCTTCAAGAAATTCACGATATCTAGTTGAAAGCCAATTGAAAGATGTTCAGAAGTACGTCTTTAGACCCAAGGACATAATTGAAGAACAGTTCTCTATTATATTAAAACACGTTGCCAACCGCAGTCAGTCCATTCCTCAAGTTTAGTAGGAACTTGAGAATCAGAAGCTTGTAAACATTTTAAATAAACGCAGTTTAGAAAATACCATTAGACCCCACATCTTAACCAACCAAACCAAACCAAGCAATAGGAAACATATGGTATTCCAAGATTTAGGCAGGCCACAAATTACCGCGCATTCAATGTCACATAAGCAAAAGTTCAAGTATCAGGTAAACAGAACAATTAGAAATAAAACGAGTAAAGAGAGTGACAAAATCCTCCACAAACAGATAGCTACATTCAAAGCCTCCAGGAGAGATGGTTAGTGGAGTTACGGTAGCTTACAAAAGCTTACTTCAAACTGTAGTATGCGATGAATCCTCAGTTAAACCATCCAGCTCAGAGAACGCAACCACACTGAAATCACCCACTTGAGCTGCTCTATCATTCCAGTAGAAATTATTTAGTACTGTGTAGACAAATGTGTCAATGCTAGTGAAGACTGAATCGTTTGTTTGTTCGAGCTGGTCTCCATTGGCAGGAGACAAGAAGGCTGTCACTACTAAATCGTGTAATGGATGGCAGAAGATTGGAGAAATATGATTAGAAATGTTGGCGTACATTATATTAACGTTCAGATATGATAGAGAAGATTTGTAGCTCAGGTGGATGATTTTGATGTAGTTCTATTCTCTGAGCTGGAAGGTTCATTTGCGAAGCTTTCATTTGTCAGCTAGGAAACATCTTCTGCGCCTACTTTAATTTGAAGTAAGCTTCCAGATTTCTTCAAGAGTTCATGAATCATCTCTTCTGGTGACCTTGGACGTGATTCTAGGCTACTTGTATTGGAACTGATTGTTTCTTTGACTTGAACTTTGACCGTTTGTGTGTGAGGTTTCTTTCTTATCGGTTGATAAATTTTGTCAATCTCGATGTGTCTATTGATTGATGATTCACTGGAATGCCAAGCTTCTAAAAGTTCTCTAGCATTCTTGGTGTTTCCTCTGTCTAATATTTGAACATTGTCCCAGTCGAATTGATGTCCGTGGTTGTCTGTATGAATGTACAATACAAATAGCCTAGAAGGTGCGAAAACGCATAAAAACAATCAACCACGTCAAAGGTCACCAGGAGAGATGATTAATAACCTCATGGAGAAATCTAAAAGCTCACTTTAAATTGAAGTATGCGCTGAAGATGTTGCCTAGTAGGGCGATGAAAGCTTCACAAATTAACTACCCAGCTCGGAGAACATAACCACATCAAAATATTAACGCTCATTGCAGACCTTAGCACTGTTTAATCATTGTGAATCTGTTTCGCTATAGGTTGAATAATAAACAATAATGTTACCCAACTGTTTTGTGTTGTTCTCCATCGGTTACAGTGTATATTATTCTACGTATTAGGCTTAGTCTTCTGAGACCAACAGACGGTCCAGGATCGTTGTGAGCTGTATATTTGACACGCATGTTTAGTTCAAATTCCACTTAGGCCCTGTGTATTTCGTAATAACGTTTCCTAAAATTATAAGGAACAACTACCTGTACTCAACAAAGATGGTCACAGTTCCACTATAATCCTACTCAATTAACACAGATGGTTAAGTAAAGGTCAGAACTTTGAGGAACACAATATAAAGTTATAGAAAGATAGTCATGAGTAGCTACTGGTGCGAAGGTTAAAAACCAGCTCTGTGGACAGAAACCTCCATATTATTGTCGAATATAATCAAATGTTAGCAAAGAATGATAGTTCACTTCATATTCAAAGTCATCAACATCTTTAACAAAAGCAGCATTTTTGACGTGACACAACTAGAAACATGATGAAACATTGTAGCATAGTGAAGTACTTTTATTTGAAACAGCACAGTATTACAGTTATCTTAGTTTACTCATGACACCTCAATAACAGTTTATTCATTCAGACAACATTGTATTGGTGTATGTTGTATCAGCGAAAACTATTTTATTGAAGAATTATACTATGTGGGTATACGATCTCTATCAAACATCGCCCGAGTAGATCAAATGAAATAGAATTTTGAGATTATTTATTATCCTCCTCTGATTTGACTGACTGGTGTTAATGATATCTTCCGTATTTCTGGTATTTGCATTGAGTCATTTCTGTTGCATGTGTTGGGTGTAGACTCGATGAACCAGGATTCAGTAATCAATCTCTGTTCTGGTTCAATGAGTCTACACCCAACACAACACATGCAACAGAAATGACTCAATGCAAATACCAGAGATATGTATAGAAGATATTATTACCACCAGTCAGTCAAATCAGAGGAGGATAATAAATAATCTTAAAATTCCATTTCAATTCAAGCACATCACAACATTCTAACAAGTTACTTATTTTGCACATAAAAACAATCGTCTTATTTTCCATCTGATTTTAACTGATCAATAACACTCATACTATTATTATTGTTTCCAAATGTGCTTTATCTTATACTGATTTTTATTCAAATGTCTAATCATCAATTCCACTCATGTATATAAATGAAGGAAAAAGTTGTGTGAGTAACTTGATATGATTATGAGTAGCAATAATTTGTGCTCGAAAGGTGGTCATCAGTTAATATTACTGTATAACAACACTGTGTGATTTTATCAAAATAAAATCTTATCCATAATGAAAAACTAATCTAAATTAATTTTGTCATTCCTTAGATATTGGAGATGCGTCTAGAATTTTATGTTTGAGTTTCGATTCTGTAATAAAAGGAAAGAACTTTTTAATTTACAAAGATTTATTGAAGAATTTATAGGCAGGTAAAGTAATAAAAAATCCTACGAAGTATCTAACTTTACGAACTGTGTTTGATCCGTTTATGTGTTGAATAATAAGCAAAGAGTAAATGAAGCCAGTACTCATGATATTGAGGTTATTTAATCATGAAATTCCTACTGATGCCATGTTTTGAAGTACTTTTTTCTCAATTATTGAGATGGAATTTATGGGTGATACTGATGATTATATGCATGACCAGCACAACAAAACAAATGCACTTTCCATTTAACAATTTCAACCTCGCCTAGTTTACTTGACCGCTAGTTTTCTAGTCGTTCGAAAGTCCTGTGTCGGATGAAGGGCTGAGCATGTGGTTAACGATACTAACTCTGACAATCAATTAAAACGCAATAGAAACTTCAAATTACAAGAAAAATATAAAAATACAGCCTTATTCTTCTCTGGAATCAGGGAGACAAAATGACATCGTCCAGTGAAAGCATTCAGCAAGCTAGTGTGTCGATGAATCTTCTTTTGACGAAAGAAAAAATAAGGATAAGCGCGTCGAATGTTTGTACAATATAAGAATCAGTGAAGGCTACCCAGCTGGCCAAAGAAATGAGAAAATGACATGGAAGCGATACGAATCTCTGAAAGTAGGTGTAGTAGACCCAATATCAATTTGGACACTTTGTGCACTCCACAGCATAAAGGACAAAATTCGAATTTACAACACTGATTTTAAGCCGCCTAGGTCTTCTATATGCTTCAGAAACTTGATTTTTAATTCTATACCAACCTACTCTTTGGTAATTCTTAAAGACGTGGCTAAAAGAAAATATGCTACATATTGAGTGGCGTAGCCTCACGTGATGTTATATGGACTACTGTTTTATTCGAAGATCCTTAACGAAAACAAACTAATGCTCATTGCCTTCATTCAACTGCAGCACGTGTTACAGTGAATTATTGTTGTTTATAATATGAAGTACAAATCTTCACAACGGATTATGTCTGCCTTTGAAAATTCTATAAAACTCTCTTGATATAACAATTGACATATTTCTGCGTATCGTAATTATAAGAAGTGGCTTTTTAGGCTGTTGAATAAAACAAGTTCTCATCTTTTCTAATCGAATTTGAAATTACTATGCTGCATAGCTTGCGTCCCTTAACACTACTGAGCAGGTGTTTGCATAGCATGGAGAAAATTGGTAGCTACTTCTCAATTCCTCAGTGTATCATTTTATGAGTATGTCAGGAAGCAAACGCAGAGATCGTAGGGAAAGATGATGGTTCAGCTCGCATCAGAGAGAATTTACCCAAGTGGTTTGAAGCACCAAAAGTCAAGATACGAAAATATTTAACCACAAAGCATCTCATCGATATGAAGCTGATGATGATGTTGATTCTTTCATGAAAAAACAGAAAGACGCTTGCGACAAGAAAAGCTTGTAAAACTAGAGTTTATAAAGCCCACGTTTGTATACAAAAAGAAATGGTGACCACCTTGAATCTAAAATGGTAATACCTTTTATCTGGGAATTGTTATCACTATTATTGTACGTATTACTATTACTTATATTATTATTTTATTCTATCACTTAATACTATTATTATTTTTGACTCAACCTTTTCTGTGTACCATTATCTTAAATTGTTTCATAATAAAAATTACCACCACTCAGCTTGTAATTTCTGATACACTCGGGATCTTTGTCTGCTTCCTGTTTAATTATAGGGAAGTAGTTGAAATATAATCAATAGTAATCTTACTTTTAATCTCTCAGACTCCCGTTCACTTATCTATCAAAACATGACCAGTAAAACACTCGCGCGTGACAAATAGCATGATTTCTTCAATGTAGTTTATT